AAGGCTAACAATTTTGATCGATTCAAAAATAGCATATTTGGCAGTTGCAAAGATGGTGTCTGTAAGATCACAACAAGATATACAAGAACAATTACATATACATGTACCTTATCGTATAATTTGGTAATTGCTCGGGCTGATACATATCATATCATTGGAATGTTTATAAATTGAACAGGAATAAAATGTAATAAGACAAAAAATAAAACAAAGTTATTCTAATTGGTACACTGTATAAGTTGACTATGCGAGGACAATATACAAAGCATAAAATACTGTCTTATGCAGAGAACCCCTTGCACGTCGAGAGTGGTCAGTAGCTGGATAGGTGCCCACCTGCAGGTTACATGTTGAGGCAGCGTAGTGACCCTGTGGTACATTGTATAAAGTATGGTAAATCTACCAGTTTAATATTGTCGACTGAAAGTAATGCCAGTAAAGACACTTAGTATATAGTATCAATGTATATCAGTTTTAACAATAATCAGGACAGTAGTGTGAAAATAAACGTTTAAAAATAAATGAAAGAGAAATCCTGAATACAAAATGAATTGGTCAGAAATCTACGACAGGTGCTTCAAACAGCCTACTAAAATAACCGCAGAACAAAGCGATATTAAGAATTATCTACCCAGGGTTAACGAGTATCTAAAGTACCGTTAACCCGAGTAGTGGGAAGTCTAAAGGCGTAAATTGATTCACTATTTTTCAGGTTTTCTTTAGATAGACGTTTTTGTAATCGTTCAATCAACCATTTCGAGATCGAGTTGTATTAACTCGTCAATATCAGGGAAAGATAAAAATATTTTTCAAGATCAAGGCAAAATCCCAATTTTACTCGGGCGCAAACAAAATTAAGTCAGTATGGCCGCCTGACAGCTATGTTTTTTTTCTGATCAGTTTAAAAATAAAAATGCAAAACTAAAGATCAATGGAAACCTTTATACGAAATTTGACAAACAAATTGCTTTGTCAAAACCATCTTGTGAAATATCAATAACAGACATGAACTCTCAAAATATAAGCTTTCTAGAGGCCATCTTGTTAAAAAAAATTATTCTCAAGTGAAACATGAACAACCAAGGACTACGAGGAACCTGGAAATCTGTATATGAAAATTGAGAAAGATCAGATCGGTACTATTGAGAAAGAGTGAAAGCAAAAATTGCTCTCAGGAACGACGACAGACGACGAACGAGGGACGGCGGGAGATCATGGACGAATGGCGATAATACTGTAAACATAAATTATCAAACTTATACTGTAAAAATAAATTATCAACCTACTACTGTAAACATAACTTATCAACCTAATACTGTAAACATAAATTATAAAACTAATACTGTAAACATATATTATCAAACTAATACTGTAAACATAAATTATCAAACTAATACTGTAAACAGAGATTATAAAACTAATACTGTAAACCTAACTTATCAACCTAATACTGTAAACATAACTTATCAACCTAATACTGTAAACATAAAGTATCAAACTAATACTGTAAACATAAATTATCAAACTAATGCTGTAAACATAAATTATCAACCTAATACTGTAAACATAAATGATCTATCTAATACTGTAAACATAAATTATCAACCTAATGTTGATATGAATAACCACCTACTACTTTACTATTTTCAAATAAAAATCATTGTTTGTATACATCATCAAATCTCTAATTCTACTAGTTGAAATGTACAATTTTCGATCTTATTACCTTACCATAAATACGCGAACAGTATTTTTTTCTAATTCAGTTTTGATATTAATTATCCATTCGTCTTTCGACTCAATGTTTTTTGGTCTAAACATGCTTTCAAGGCATATTTTATCGTTCTTTTCAACTTCCACCAATACTTCAAAACTTTCATTTTTTTGTCATATAAAAGAATCCATCCTATTTCAAAATACACAAAATCATTTCGTGTACATTTCTTGACTCCAAGTAGCTTCTTACTAAGATTTGTGTGAACTTTTTCTACGTTTGCATATCCTACAACACTGTTGATATAGTTATCAAATCCAAAGTATGGTGTCTTAATATTAAATAATAACTTTTAAATTACTATTAAGTGAAAAATACGTTTTTCTACCTTGATAAGCAAACTGTTTCTGGATTTTATTAAATTTTCCGTAATTAGTAAATAACATTCGAAGATATTTTGATTCATGAACTCCTCGTACAGTGTATATCAGCCTTATAGCAACTTTTCGTTAGATCGCCATCTACCACCATTTTGAAAAATCTTTGTAATTATTTGATCCACAATCAGTTTCAATCGTTGCTGTAAAACAACATAACATCTAACATTCTATAAAGGGACTGAGGTGACTCTGCAATCAAAACTGTATCATCTGCATACATTATTTAAATTTTGTTTATCAAACCTAATTCTCCTGATGGGCAATTTTCTCTAATTAAACATATCTCACAGTAATTAACATATGGACTATACAAGATTCGTGGCAGAATTTATCCTTAAATAAATCCGTTCGTGTTTTTGTAGTATTCTGACAAGAATCCATCGCATTTGAAACACGATTTGACCTTTTCATATAAAGCTTGTATACTTTTCAACATGTATCCATCAATACACAACTTCTATCAAACAAATCAAAAGGATTTTTTTTTAATCTATGAAGCAGCAATATAATCTTTTCTTCTGTCTAAGCGTTTTATTAATTATTGTCTGCAGCACAAAAATAACACATATCATCGAAAAACCAGTTTAAATCCAAATTAAGCATCTGTTATCATGTATTCTTTATCCCATTTTAATACTATTTTATCAAGCACTTAAGTAAATAATTAACCCATACAGTTAATACGTGTTACACCTCTGTAATTATTGAGATCTTCAGCCTCACCTTCTCTGTGGATAGGAACAATGCAACCTTTCGACCAAGACTCTGGAAAACATCAGATTGAAAAATATGACTAAACATACATGTAACTTACTGCAATACTTCTATCTTACACTCTATAAGATATTCACTCGAATTGTTACCCCAACTACAACTTTTGTTCAGATTTCTGATTGCTGCCACCACTTTCTCCTCAATGATTGGAGTCTAATTCTTCAAAAACTGTATACCAGCACTTACTACAAAACTTATTACATCAGCATCAAATATTTCGTCCGAGTCTAAGTTTTCAAAATTGATATATAATTCCCCTTTACCAATATCTGACTGTGTTATTTTGCTTTCCGGCTTAGCAAAATATTTGTAGACTTGTTTCGGATTGTTTTTGCGTATCAAGTCAAACAGATCAATTTCGTATCTTCTATGCTGCCGTTTCAATCTGTGTTCAAGCCTTTTATAAACTGATTCCATGCGTACAAGTTTTCGATTATTTTTCTCCGACTTCAATCCGTTAGAGCTTGACAATGCTGTTTTGTAGTCGTTATAACTTAACCTTGGTTTGTCATCAGAATTGTTAACCTTACTGTCGACTTTTGAATGCTTCACACAATGCGGTAAGATTAATATATTGATAACTTGGCATCATCTATGTTCTTGTTCACATCATTTTGTGTAGACTATCTGCATTTTATTCAGATTTTTTTTTAAGTCGACATTTTCATAGTTCCATCTCCTTCGCTCAAACGGACATCTAGGTGTAAGATCATATTCTGTATTTAAATATTGTTTATATTTCAAACGCAATTTAAAATACAATGGAGAATGATCAGAAATCCTTACAAAATTCCTGCGGATAGTTGCAAAAAATAAAATGAATGGTACAGTTTTATTTAGAAAATGTCAATGCACTCTACTTCGCATGGTCCGTAGTGATAATTGACATCACTGCTTTTTTCCCATAGCTGATGAATGTGTTCCGGATGTCGAGGCTCGCGATCCTGAGTGAGCGTGAACGCCTCTCCTACCCGACGCTTTGTCCGTTTGGCTGGTTTTTACAACCATGCTCATTATCTCTTTGTGTACATCTGAGGGCGTCGCTGAAACACTTTTCTGTACTAACGGTAGACTCCCGATAGAGTTCACCATTATAGTGAAAAGTTTGTCCCTCATCATCTTCACTCGATATCCCTTTTGCCTATTGGCTTTCATGATAGGGTACTATTTCTTCTGGAAAATGTTTTTGAATGTAATAGTCATTACCTGTCAGTCACCTTAGTCTTTGGAGAACGTTCTGCCGGTCCTTTCTGGTCAGAAAACGTTACACTATTGGTATCGGTTCCCTTTCTATCAATTTCCAGAATATGTGAACATTTCTAAATGTATGATTTCTGCTGGTTCTAACTCGTTATTGAAATAATATTCCTCAGCATCTGTATCCCTTTTTTCTCCACCTAGGCCAGTGAACACTAACTAGTTGTTCATTGATCTGGACTTCAATCTTTGACGGTGTCCTTCGGAGAATCTCCTTCATTTCTTATGGCGATAAACTCATCATTCACTCCATCCACTCCTTTCCTTTCATGGCTAGTTTAAATGGAAATAATGGTGTTGTGATAAATACCATGGAAAATAAGATATCTGTTTGAACTGTTTTAATCTACTACGACGGTGAAACCTTGACACAGCTCGCATCAATAACCCAGGACGATCCCCAAAGTGTCCGCAAAAAAGGATACATAGGTCAGGTAACATGGGAAGCAGAAAAGTACTATTGGTTTATCCTGATGGATCAGTAACATTGGGTCAATACAGGCCGCAGTACAAAATTTTGATTAAACACATGCTACACTCATGCAATTGAACATTTACAACGATATTGGTGGAGAAAATGCATATTTTAACATATTGAAGATGAAACCATGTCGAACTTTCAAATCCAAAGCTGATATATACAGAACATAAATCACAAGCGACAAGCACGACAAACAGATTTACAGTACATTACGTGCACACAGCTGATGCAGCACGGTCCGTGAAACATAATAGTCTGTTTTAGATACAAATGATTGGACTGTGTCACCTGAAACATATCATTTGGTGGTGACAGCTTGTGAGATCGATCTACAGCGACATTAACCCGAGTTGTACTGTAGCACGAGGTATCTATCAGGAGCATGGACTTCCTGAATAGCACCTGAACACGTAGTGTAGTGGGACATGACGAACTAGAACAGGTGTGGGAGAGAACAAGAGGGGATGGAGGATACCAATGTTGATGATGCGTTCAGATCTGCCGGACAATCGCCTGGTCTGGAGATATGGAGAATAGAGGTAAGACTACTCACTGTCATTACCAGAGGGGTATCACAGCTGTGGATATAGAGGATACAGGTAGGACTACTCACCATCATTACCAGAGGGTTATCACAGCTGTGGATATAGACGATTGAGGTAAGACTACTCACTATCATTACCAGAGGGGTATCACACCTGGTAATATAGAGAATAGAGGTATGACCACTCACCATCTTTACCAAAGGGTTATCACAGCTGTGGATATAGAGGATAAAGGTAGGACTACTCACCATCATTACCAGAGGGTTATCACAGCTGTGAATATAGAGGATAGAGGTAGGATCACTCACCATCATTACCAGTGGGTTATCACAGCTGTGGATATAGAGGATAGAAGTAGGACTACTCACCATCATTACCAAAGTGGTCTCACAGCTGTGGATATAGAGGACAGAGGTAGGATCACTCACAATCTTTACCAGTGGGGTATCACAGCTTGGGATATAGCGGATAGAGGTAGGATTACTCACCATCATTACCAGAGGGGTATCACAGCTGTGGATATAGAGGATAGAGGTAGGACCACTCACCATCATTACCAGAGGGGTATCACAGCTGTGGATATAGAGGATAGAGGTAAGACTACTCACCATCATTACCAGAGGGGTATCACAGCTGTGGATATAGAGGATAGAGGTAGGACTACTCACCATCATTACCAGAGGGGTATCACAGCTGTGGATATAGAGGATAGAGGTAGGACTACTCACCATCATTACCAGAGGGGTATCACAGCTGTGGATATAGAGGATAGAGGTAGGACTACTCACCATCATTACCAGAGGGTTATCACAGCTGTGGATATAGAGGATAGAGGTAGGATCACTCACTATCATTACCAGAGGGGTATTACAGCTGTGGATATAGAGGATAGAGGTAAGACTACTCACCATCATTACCAGAGGGGTATCACAGCTGTGGATATAGAGGATAGAGGTAGGACTACTCACCATCATTACCAGAGGGTTATCACAGCTGTGGATATAGAGGATAGAGGTAGGATCACTCACCATCATTACCAGAGGGGTATCACAGCTGTGGATATAGAGGATAGAGGTAGGACTACTCACCATCATTACCAGAGGGTTATCACAGCTGTGGATATAGAGGATAGAGGTAGGATCACTCACCATCATTACCAGAGGGTTATCACAGCTGTGGATATAGAGGATAGAGGTAGGACTACTCACCATCATTACCAGAGGGTTATCACAGCTGTGGATATAGAGGATAGAGGTAGGATCACTCACCATCATTACCAGAGGGTTATCACAGCTGTGGATATAGAGGATAGAGGTAGGACTACTCACCATCATTACCAGAGGGTTATCACAGCTGTGGATATAGAGGATAGAGGTAGGATCACTCACCATCATTACCAGAGGGGTATCACAGCTGTGGATATAGAGGATAGAGGTAGGACCACTCACCATCATTACCAGAGGGGTATCACAGCTGTGGATATAGAGGATAGAGGTAGGACTACTCACCATCATTACCAGAGGGTTATCACAGCTGTGGATATAGAGGATAGAGGTAGGATCACTCACTATCATTACCAGAGGGGTATTACAGCTGTGGATATAGAGGATAGAGGTAAGACTACTCACCATCATTACCAGAGGGGTATCACAGCTGTGGATATAGAGGATAGAGGTAGGACTACTCACCATCATTACCAGAGGGTTATCACAGCTGTGGATATAGAGGATAGAGGTAGGATCACTCACTATCATTACCAGAGGGATATTACAGCTGTGGATATAGAGGATAGAGGTAAGACTACTCACCATCATTACCAGAGGGGTATCACAGCTGTGGATATAGAGGATAGAGGTAGGACTACTCACCATCATTACCAGAGGGTTATCACAGCTGTGGATATAGAGGATAGAGGTAGGACTACTCACCATCATTACCAGAGGGGTATCACAGCTGTGGATATAGAGGATAGAGGTAGGACCACTCACCATCATTACCAGAGGGGTATCACAGCTGTGGATATAGAGGATAGAGGTAAGACTACTCACCATCATTACCAAAGGGTTATCACAGCTGTGGATATAGAGGATAGAGGTAGGACTACTCACCATCATTACCAGAGGGTTATCACAGCTGTGGATATAGAGGATAGAGGTAGGATCACTCACCATCATTACCAGAGGGGTATCACAGCTGTGGATATAGAGGATAGAGGTAGGATCACTCACTATCATTACCAGAGGGGTATTACAGCTGTGGATATAGAGGATAGAGGTAAGACTACTCACCATCATTACCAGAGGGGTATCACAGCTGTGGATATAGAGGATAGAGGTAGGACTACTCACCATCATTACCAGAGGGTTATCACAGCTGTGGATATAGAGGATAGAGGTAAGACTACTCACCATCATTACCAGAGGGGTATCACAGCTGTGGATATAGAGGATAGAGGTAGGACTACTCACCATCATTACCAGAGGGTTATCACAGCTGTGGATATAGAGGATAGAGGTAAGACTACTCACCATCATTACCAAAGGGTTATCACAGCTGTGGATATAGAGGATAGAGGTAGGACTACTCACCATCATTACCAGAGGGTTATCACAGCTGTGGATATAGAGGATAGAGGTAAGACTACTCACCATCATTACCAAAGGGTTATCACAGCTGTGGATATAGAGGATAGAGGTAGGACTACTCACCATCATTACCAGAGGGTTATCACAGCTGTGGATATAGAGGATAGAGGTAGGATCACTCACCATCATTACCAGAGGGTTATCACAGCTGTGGATATAGAGGATAGAGGTAGGATCACTCACCATCATTACCAGAGGGGTATCACAGCTGTGGATATAGAGGATAGAGGTAGGATCACTCACTATCATTACCAGAGGGGTATTACAGCTGTGGATATAGAGGATAGAGGTAAGACTACTCACCATCATTACCAGAGGGGTATCACAGCTGTGGATATAGAGGATAGAGGTAGGACTACTCACCATCATTACCAGAGGGTTATCACAGCTGTGGATATAGAGGATAGAGGTAGGATCACTCACCATCATTACCAGAGGGGTATTACAGCTGTGGATATAGAGGATAGAGGTAAGACTACTCACCATCATTACCAGAGGGGTATCACAGCTGTGGATATAGAGGATAGAGGTAGGACTACTCACCATCATTACCAGAGGGTTATCACAGCTGTGGATATAGAGGATAGAGGTAGGATCACTCACCATCATTACCAGAGGGGTATTACAGCTGTGGATATAGAGGATAGAGGTAAGACTACTCACCATCATTACCAGAGGGGTATCACAGCTGTGGATATAGAGGATAGAGGTAGGACTACTCACCATCATTACCAGAGGGTTATCACAGCTGTGGATATAGAGGATAGAGGTAGGATCACTCACCATCATTACCAGAGGGTTATCACAGCTGTGGATATAGAGGATAGAGGTAGGACTACTCACCATCATTACCAGAGGGTTATCACAGCTGTGGATATAGAGGATAGAGGTAGGATCACTCACCATCATTACCAGAGGGTTATCACAGCTGTGGATATAGAGGATAGAGGTAGGACTACTCACCATCATTACCAGAGGGTTATCACAGCTGTGGATATAGAGGATAGAGGTAGGATCACTCACCATCATTACCAGAGGGTTATCACAGCTGTGGATATAGAGGATAGAGGTAGGACTACTCACCATCATTACCAGAGGGTTATCACAGCTGTGGATATAGAGGATAGAGGTAGGATCACTCACCATCATTACCAGAGGGGTATCACAGCTGTGGATATAGAGGATAGAGGTAAGACTACTCACCATCATTACCAGAGGGGTATCACAGCTGTGGATATAGAGGATAGAGGTAGGACTACTCACCATCATTACCAGAGGGTTATCACAGCTGTGGATATAGAGGATAGAGGTAGGATCACTCACCATCATTACCAGAGGGGTATCACAGCTGTGGATATAGAGGATAGAGGTAGGACTACTCACCATCATTACCAGAGGGTTATCACAGCTGTGGATATAGAGGATAGAGGTAGGATCACTCACTATCATTACCAGAGGGGTATTACAGCTGTGGATATAGAGGATAGAGGTAAGACTACTCACCATCATTACCAGAGGGGTATCACAGCTGTGGATATAGAGGATAGAGGTAGGACTACTCACCATCATTACCAGAGGGTTATCACAGCTGTGGATATAGAGGATAGAGGTAGGATCACTCACTATCATTACCAGAGGGGTATTACAGCTGTGGATATAGAGGATAGAGGTAAGACTACTCACCATCATTACCAGAGGGGTATCACAGCTGTGGATATAGAGGATAGAGGTAGGACTACTCACCATCATTACCAGAGGGTTATCACAGCTGTGGATATAGAGGATAGAGGTAGGATCACTCACTATCTTTACCAGAGGGGTATTACAGCTGTGGATATAGAGGATAGAGGTAAGACTACTCACCATCATTACCAAAGGGGTATCACAGCTGTGGATATAGAGGATAGAGGTAGGACTACTCACCATCATTACCAGAGGGGTATCACAGCTGTGGATATAGAGGATAGAGGTAGGACCACTCACCATCATTACCAGAGGGGTATCACAGCTGTGGATATAGAGGATAGAGGTAGGACCACTCACCATCTTTACCAGAGGGGTATCACAGCTGTGGATATAGAGGATAGAGGTAGGACCACTCACCATCTTTACCAGAGGGGTATCACACCTGTGGGTATAAAGGATAGAGGTAGGACCACTCACCATCTTTACCAGAGGGGTATCACAGCTGTGGATATAGAGGATAAAGGTAAGACTACTCACCATCATTACCAAAGTGGTCTCACAGCTGTGGATATAGAGGACAGAGGTAGGATCACTCACCATCTTTACCAGAGGGGTATTACAGCTGTGGATAAGGAGGATAGAGGTAGGACAACTGACTATCATTACCAGAGGGGTATCACAGCTGTGGATATAGAGAATAGAGGTAGGATCACTCACCATCATTACCAGTGGGTTATCACAGCTGTGGATATAGAGGATAGAGGTAGGACAACTCACTATCATTACCAGAGGGGGATCACAGCTGTGGATATAGAGGATAGATGTAGGATCACTCACCATCTGTACCAGAGGTGTATCACAGCTGTGGATATAGAGGATAGAGGTAAGACTACTCACCATCATTACCAAAGGGGTCTCACAGCTGTGGATATAGAGGACAGAGGTAGTATCACTCACCATCTTTACCAGAGGGGTATCACAGCTGTGGATATAGAGAACAGAGGTAGGATCATTAACTCTCATTCCCAGATGGGTATCACAGCTGGGGATATAGAGGTAGGACCACTCACTATCATTACCAGAGGTGTATCATAGCTTGGGATAGAGAACAGAGGTAGGATCATTTACTCTCATCCCAGATGGGTATCACAGCTGGGGATATAGAGGTAGGACCACTCACTATCATTACCAGAGGGGTATCACAGCTTGGGATATAGAGGACAGAGGTAGGACCACTCACTCTTTCGTACAGATTGGTAATTCAGAATCGGAAGAAGAGTAGCAGTGATAATAGTTGTTATACTGAGTGTAAATGTAATGACAATTAGATGATAAATAACTGATGAATATCAACCTATAGTGACTTTAAATTCACCTTTTTGGAGTAATAAATCAGGTGAAAGTAATTACTGCAAATGGTCAAAGAGCTAACTGAGTTTTACAGAATAATCGGGTATTGAAGTTCATTTTAATTACATTCAGAACGACAACAGTGTTCGTGCAATATCTTCCTAAATCTGTGATACTTAATTACGACGATTTTATTTAGAGGATCAACTTTTTCATTTTTGAGTAACACGTCAGATTCCTTGTTTGTAAAGTTCAATTGTTAATGTGAGTTCGCTACTAAAGGACATAGTTACATGATCGGGAGTTATGTTGACTGACAAACTAAGCCTGTGATAGCAGAATGAGTCGCGTTTAAATAACATGTAGAACGATACAGGATATTTGTTCAGTAAGACTAGATATATATAACATTAACCTGTAGAGCACTCGTGGTTTAGTAATCAGTAATGCAAGACTCGTTTAATACTCAGTAGACCGATACATGTTTTAGTAATGCGTGGAGCGATACTCGTTTAAGTAATCAGTGGAGCGTGGAGCGAGATTCGTTTAAGTAATCAGTTGAACGTGGAGCGAGACTCGTTTAAGTAATCAGTAGAGCGAGACTCGTTTTAGTTGTCATTAGAGCGAGACTCGTTTGAGTTATCAGTTGAGCGAAGACACGTTTTAGAAATCAGCAGAGTGGGACACGTTTTAGTAATCAGTGGAACGAGACTCATTTTAGTTATCAGTGGAGCGAGACTCGTTTTAGTTATCAGCAGAGCGAACCACCTTTAAGTAATCAGTAGAGCGAAACACATTTTAATAATCAGTAGAACGAGACATGTTTTAGTAATCAGTAGAGTGAGACTCGTTTTAGTATTCAGTAAAGCGTGACACAGTTTAGTCATCAGCGGAGCGACAGTCGTTTTAGTAATCATAGGAGCGAGACTCGTTTTAGTAATCAGTGGACCGAGACTCGTTTTAGTAATCAGTGGAGCGAGACTCGTTTAAGTATTCAGTACAGCGGGACACAGTTTATAATTCAGTGGAGCGAGACTCGTATTATTAATCAGTGGAGCGAGACTCGTTTAAGTATTCAGTGGAGCAAGACGCGTTTTAGTAACCAGTGGAGCGAGACTCGTTTAAGTATTCAGTACAGCGGGACGCAGTTTATTAATCAGTGGAGCGAGACTCGTATTAGTAATCAGTGGAGCGAGACTCGTTGAAGTATTCAGTGGAGCGAGACTCGTTTTAGTATTGAGTCGAGCGAGACTCGTTTTAGTAATCAGTACAGGTAGACTCCTTCTAATAATCAGTAGAACTTGACTCGTGCTAGTAATAATTTAAGCGATAAACGTTTTAGTTGTCAGTAGAGCGATTCAGAAGAGCGATTCAGTAGAGCGTTACACGTTTTAGAAATCATAGAAGCGAGACTCGTTTTAGTAATCAGTGAAGCGAGACTTGTTTAAGTTATCAGTAGAGCAAGACTCGTTTAAGTAATCAGTGGACCGAGACTCGTTTTAGTAATCAGTGAAGCGAGACTCGTTTAAGTAATCAGCGGAGCGAGACTTGTTTAAGTAATCAGTGGAGCGAGATTCGTTTTAGTATTGAGTGGAGCGAGACTCGTTTTAGTAATCAGTACAGGTAGACTCGTTTTAGTAATCAGTAGAACTTGACTCGTGCTAGCAATTAATACAGCGAGATACGTTTGCGTTGTAAGTAGAGCGATTCAGTAGAGCGAGACACGTTTTAGTATTCAGTAGAGCGAGATTCGTTTTAGTAATTAGTGGAGTGAGAATCGTTTGAGTAATCCGTCGGGACTCGTTGCATTGTGTACTCTTCGTACCTACAGAAATTGAAGGTTGTACCACAGGAGAAAGCAACTCACGGTGAATTCTATAGCGGCGATTCCTACATAATTCTCAAGGTAAGACTATTTACTTATTACATCTTCTTTTAGTATCATACAGAAATAAATGTGAATATTTATAGACAAACTAAAATATATTACAGCCAAATTAGCATAAATAGTCCAATCGAATTAATAGAACAAGTATTCCCTTATGTTTATGATCAACGGTCAGAGTTAAGTCGATGTCTTTCTGTTGACATATAACTATAAAACTCGTAAACTATTAGTGTAATATACCAACACATACAGTATGTTACGTCCGTTCTAATGTCTCCAGACTACAGAACGTCCCGAACATGTCTGAACATTTGTTTTGTTATCTTGGTCCATTCATCAACTGTTTCACAAACAGACTTTATGTCCACTTACATAAGTCATAAAAAAGATATATCAATGAAATGTTATATTATGGATACGGACACTTCCCTATAGTATGAATTATTATATCGTATACCGTATATCCTTTTATATAGATTTGTTTACACCATTGGCCCCGCGACCTGCTCACAGCTGTGGCCGGGTAGGGTGGTTACTGATGGGAACAGCACAATCGATCACCAACCGACACTTTTGTCACATCTTGTTGGTGTAAAATGTCTGCAAACGTTAAGTGTTCGAGCATCTTTAAAATTGTAGGTCTAGTAAGATTTAGCATTTAGTTTATTTCCTGTCTATCTACATCACTATGGCCGCTCATATATATATGACATCCCGTTGTTTTATCATCCGCGATGTCAAGCCACAGCGCAAAACTATTTAACCAAGAGACGAAACGCCGTCAAACGGAGAAAAAAGCTAACGTCAGAGCTTGAAAATAAAATGACGTAGTTTCTCTATCGGTTTGGCGTTATTTCGTTAGTTAGATTTGACATTTATTCGTGAGTGGGCCACGGTAAGTGAGATTGTGTTGATAACACTGTGTCTTTTACATTTTTATATTAAATCAAAGCTATAACTTCTATATTTGATCTTTTCTTTAGACGAATAAGAACTCAAGATCTGATAAACTTGAATGGGATGTTCACTTCTGGTTAGGGAACGAAACATCACAAGTAAGTACACGACGTCACTGTACCAGTACAACATTGAATGTAGTACACAACGTGTACGTACCGAAACAACATTGTAGGTAGTTCACAACGTCACTGTACCGGTAAAACATTGTACGTAGTACACAACGTCACTGTACCGGATAAAACATTGTATATAGTACACAACGTCACTGTACCGGATAAAACATTTTATAAAGTACACAACGTCACTGTACCGGATAAAACATTGTATATAGTACACAACGTCACTGTACCGGATAAAACATTGTACGTAGTACACAACGTCACTGTACCGGATAAAACATTGTATAAAGTACACAACGTCACTGTACCGGATAAAACATTGCATATAGTACACAACGTCACTGTACCGGATAAAACATTGTATATAGTACACAACGTCACTGTACCGGATAAAACATTGCATATAGTACTCAACGTCACTGTACCGGATAAAACATTGCATATAGTACTCAACGTCACTGTACCGGATAAAACATTGTATATATTACACAACGTCACTGTACCGGATAAACCATTGTATATAGTACACAACGTCACTGTACCGTATAAAACATTGTACGAAGTACACAACGTCACTGTACCGGATAAAACATTGTATATATTACACAACGTCACTGTACCGGATAAACCATTGTATATAGTACACAACGTCACTGTACCGTATAAAACATTGTACGAAGTACACAACGTCACTGTACCGGATAAAACATTGTACGTAGTACAGAGCGTCACTGTACCGGATAAAACATTGTGTGTAGTACAAAGCGTCACTTTACCGGATAAAACATTGTATATAGTACAAAGCGTCACTTACCGGATAAAATACATTGTGTGTAGTACAAAACGTCACTGTTCCAGATAAATATTCTATATAGTACAAAATGTCACTGTACCAAATAAAACATTGTATATAGTACAAAGCGTCGCTGTACCAAATAAAACATTGTATATAGTTCAAAGCGTCACTGTACCGGATAAAACATTGTACATTTGTACTTGTATATAGTACAAAGCTTCATTTATATAGTACATAGCGTCACTGTACCAAATAAAACATTGTATTTAGTTCAAAGCGTCACTGTACGTAATAAAACATTGTATGTAGTACAAAACGTCACTGTTCCAGATAAAATATTCTATATAGTACAAAATGTCACTGTACCAAATAAAACATTGTATATAGTACAAAGCGTCACTGTACCGGATAAAACATTTTATCTCAAAACATTTTGTGTTACAAAACGCCATGCCGTCATAGAGACATTCAATGAAGCTGTATAGTACGTGTTTGTTAAGTGTATTTATAATTAGATACAAACACTCTTCACTTATACAACCTGATAAACAGACAGATTTAGTCATTCGATTTACGATAAAGGATACACGATTTTTAATTCAATTCATTGTGTTTATATTAATTTCCATGCCGTTTATAGATTTTAAGGTTTATTATCAGATGTTGTACTACAAAACGATAGTTGTTTGTGATGAATACACTGCGTCCCGGTGTGTTTCTGGACGAGATAAACAAGGCTCTATTTTATTGAAGAAACTATGAAACGTCTTATCTATTCCTGGAATGAAGAAGTCGACATGTCGTATATAAATATAGAATTATTGCTTCATAAACATTTATCAGCAGACACAAATATAGCTCTTGATAATTTTTCTATTTTTGGATATTTGTCCAAAGGATGAACAGGGTGTGGCCGCCTACAAGACGGTGGAGCTTGACGACTACCTCAGGGGAGCGCCTGTACAACACAGGGAGGTCAGTAGCCACGCCCTTTAATGAGACAGGGGGTGAGTAGCCTCGCCCTTTACTAAACACAGGGAGGTCGATAAGCACGCCCTTTAATAACACAGGGAGCTCAGTAGCCACACCCTTTACTAACACAGGGGGCAGTAGCCACGCCCTTTACTAACACAGGGAACAGTAGCCATGCCATTTACTAACACGGGGGGGGGGGGGGGGGGGGGGCGCAATATCCACACCCTTTACTAAACACAGGAAGGTCGTTAATCATGTCCTTTAATAACACAGGGAGGTCGGTAACCCCGCCCTTTAATGACACAGGGGGTCAGTAGCCACGCCCTTTACTAACACAGGGAACAGTAGCCATGCCATTTACTAACACGGGGGGGGGGGGGGGGGGGGGGGGGGGGGGCGCAATATCCACACCCTTTACTAAACACAGGAAGGTCGTTAATCATGTCCTTTAATAACACAGAGAGGTCGGTAACCACGCCCTTTAATGACACAGGGGGTCAGTAGCCACGCCCTTTACTAAACACGGGGAGGTCGATAACCATGTTCTTTAATAAACATAGGGAGGTCTGTAGCCATACCCTTTACTACCACAGGGGGGTCAGTAGCTACGCCCTTTACTAGCACAGGGAGGTCAGTAGCCACGCCCTTTACTAACACAGGGAGGTCGGTAACCACGCCCTTTACTGACACAGGGAGGTCGGTAACCATACCCTTTACTACCACAGGGGGGTCAGTAGCTACGCCCTTTACTAGCACAGGGAGGTCAGTAGCCACGCCCTTTACTAACACAGGGAGGTCGGTAACCACGCCCTTTACTGACACAGGGAGGTCGGTAACCATACCCTTTACTACCACAGGGGGGTCAGTAGCTACGCCCTTTACTAGCACAGGGAGGTCAGTAGCCACGCCCTTTACTAACACAGGGAGGTCGGTAACCACGCCCTTTACTGACACAGGGAGGTCGGTAACCATACCCTTTACTACCACAGGGGGGTCAGTAGCTTCGCCCTTTACTATCACAGGGGGGTCAGTAGCCACGCCCTCTACTAGCACAGGGAGGTCAGTAGCCACGCCCTTTACTGACACAGGGAGGTCAGTAGCCACGCCCTTTACTAACACAGGAAGGTCGATAATCATGTGCTTTAATAACACAGAGAGGTCGGTAACCACGCCCTTTACTGACACAGGGGGGTCAGTAGCCACGCCCTTTACTAAACACGGGAAGGTCGATAAGCATGTTCTTTAATAAACACAGGGAGGTCGGTAACCACGCCCTTTACTGACACAGGGAGGTCGGTAACCATCCCCTTTACTACCACAGGGGGGTCAGTAGCTACGCCCTTTACTATCACAGGGGGGTCAGTAGCCACGCCCTTTACTAGCACAGGGAGGCCAGTAGCCACGCCCTTTACTGACACAGGGAGGTCGGTAACCATACCCTTTACTACCACAGGGGGGTCAGTAGCTACGCCCTTTACTATCACAGGGGGGTCAGTAGCCACGCCCTTTACTACCACAGGGAGGTCAGTAGCCACGCCCTTTACTGACATAGCCTAGTCATTAGACGTGTAGTCATCAAACAATCTACATGGATGAAGATCTCATATCAAAGTTAACACTGAAAAATACAAATCATTAAGGACACAAACACGTTCTCTTACATGTATTCACTGTTCATCTGTAATAATCATCAGTCATGATATCAACAGTCGTTTACAGAAAAAACAAAATGTGTCCGGCCAACATATGATAATTACTAGTGTTATCATGCATTAATTATGATTATATAACTAGGCCTTTTCTCGTTATTTTTTTTGTTTTTCCAGGTACAGGATCATGAATCAAAATTGTTTTTATCCTACTTCAAACACGGAATCAAGTAAGCTTTACTTCCAATTTGCCTATATATACCTGCAGGATAGACACCTCATGGGGTGGTCGGATGGCGCAGTGGATAGCGCACTTGCCTTTCACCAAGTCGACCGGGGCTCGATTCCACGATCGGACGTGAAAAGGTTTGGGGTTGCCTGCCCGACAACGTGGGGTTTCTCCGGGTACTCCGGTTTCCTCCCACACTAAGACCCCGTGCGCTAACATCCGGGCCAACAAGAGTGATAAATATAAGTTTAAATAACTTGTTTTATAAACGGAGAAAATATTGTGAATTAGCGAGTGGTGTTTCAGTTATTTGGGTAAATATTGTTGATAATACTTATAATGTCCCTGTCTCCATTCTCACCGTTCTACACAGGTACCTATCAGGAGGAGTGGAATCAGGGTTTAAAAAGGTAGAGAGAGGTGTATATGAGAAACGGTTATTCCACATCAAAGGGAAAAGGAATGTCCGTGTTAAACAGGTATGTCTACAGCCAGTATATAAAGTCCGCGTTAGACAGGTATGTCTACAGCCAGTATATAAAGTCCGCGTTAGACAGGTATGTCTACAGCCAGTATATAAAATCCGCGTTAGACAGGTATGTCTACAGACAGTATATAAAATCCGCGTCTACAGCCAGTATATAAAGTCCGCGTTAGACAGGTATGTCTACAGCCAGTATATAAAGTCCGCGTTAGACAGGTATGTCTACAACCAATATGTACTTGTATGTGACAATAGATGAATTATAATTATAAAAACCTTGTTTGAATATATATAGGATAATGAGCTTTTCAGGACGCTAAATTCTGTTTTTGTGATTTTTTGGATTGCATTAATATTAACTTGTGACGCGCTTGCCATGTTGTTGGGTAGTGTTAATGTTACCTGCTCACTGGAATATTCATCGGATGTTTTCTGTTTATATCAATAATTTGATGTTATGAGCTTATATGATTAATCCGATGTTATGGATGTATTTAAATGACAGGATGCTGATGACATGTTTTAATTATCGGTGGTGTTATCAGGTTCGATGTGACTGTAGCTCTCTGAACCAGGGAGATGTCTTCCTACTAGACTGTGGTGCCACCCTCCACGTCTGGAACGGACCAACAAGCAGCCACTTCGAACGACTGAAGGTTACCAACTTGTAATATACAATATACAATTTGTATATATGATATAGTGATCAGATATTGATGATATGATAAAATACACTTAAATTTATCATTTTGGGAAAACACATGTTAACTTAATTATAGACAAACTGATTGTTTTCTTGTGGCATACAATAAATTAGCATAATAAATTCAATATTTTCGTCTTGGAAACACAAAGTTGTTTATATGCTCGGCCAAACAGTTACTAATCATAATAATGTTATAAGCTAGCCATAAACAATGTACCTGTATGATTACATGTTCCAGGGAGCACAAGTTGCAAAGAGGATTCGTGATTCAGAACGGTCTGGGAAGGCAGAGATCAGAATAATTGGTTTGTAACATTAGCGAACGAGATCCACTCCAAATGTTTTTTGCTCAAATGCATGTACTTTTAGAGGCGAGTTTCTCTAAGATTTCATTTTAAAACATTTTCAATTACTTTTATTCTCCAATCTGTACTTGTTTTGAGTTACTATATATTTTTTTTTTCTTCCTGTGATATTTTGTACGGTGTTACCTGCTAATGTTTTACAGACAGACTGTGGGATATAGACGCGAAGTTTTTTGGTGAGTTAGGTTCCCATGAAGATATAGCCGAGGGAGCTGAGGGTGGTGACGATACCGCCTACGAACACTCTGCACACGATAAGACAACTCTGTACAGGTAAGGTATCGCCAACTCAACAATGTGAGTTATCTCGCTTGTCACACAAATTAGATGGTAGTTCAACTCCTCTGTCAAAATTGAAAAATAAGTTGTCATATAGACATTTTTCCAGCGTTTCAGATTCCTCTGGGGATTTAGAAGTGAAGGAGGTGGCGAAGAAGCCTTTCTCACAGAATGATCTTGACTCGTCCGTAAGTGATTTCCATGTATTGAAAAACATGGTTATGTAACTGGCTTTAAGGTACAAATGAGGGAATTTTATCAAAATAAATCAACATACAATGTTCATGTTGTGAATTTGATTTCATTTTGTTTGCTTTACACATGTTCTCCAAGTAGTCTATGTGAGAAGCTTCAGAATGTTTCTGAATGCCTCGGTCCAAGATGGACGTGTTTTCATTGTACATAAACTAACGTACGTAATACAGTGATACAGAAGAGGGAGAAGCATGTGTACAGTTTATAAGCAACCAGCTTCACGTGAGTGTTGACTCATATAACAGAACATTCACATGAAATGCACGTGCTACACCTGTTGTAAGATTTCCTTGTGAATTGTTGTTTAATTCCAGCGAGACTGAAATAAAACCAGTGTATCAGTACACAAAGTTTAGAACTCTTCTATCTTAGAATTCTACTTCACATCCAGTGTTGGCTACTCTAGGGTTAAATAAAATGTTATTTTACATAACCAATACCAGTCCACACATGTAACATAACATATATGTATCATACCACACATATCATACCACACATGTATCATACCACATATATATATATCATACCACATATATATATATATCATACCACATATATATCATACCACACATATATATCATACCACACATGTATCATACCACATATATATATCATACCACACATATATCATACCACATATATATATATCATACCACATATATATATATATCATACCACATATATATCATACCACACATATATATCATACCACACATATATCATACCACAAATATATATATATCATACCACATATATATCATACCACACATATATATCATACCACACATGTATCATACCACATATATATATCATACCACACATATATCATACCACATATATATATATCATACCACATATATATATATATCATACCACATATATATCATACCACACATATATATCATACCACACATATATCATACCACAAATATATATATATCATACCACATATATATCATACCACACATATATATCATACCACACATGTATCATACCACATATATATATCATACCACACATATATCATACCACATATATATATATCATACCACATATATATATATATCATACCACATATATATCATACCACACATATATATCATACCACACATATATCATACCACACATATATCATACCACACATATATCATACCACACATATATCATACCACATAATATCATACCACACCAGTATCAGTCCTCATATATATCATACCACACCAGTACCAGTCCTCATATATATCATACCACACCAGTACCAGTTCTCATATATATATCATACCGCACCAGTACCTGTCCTCATATATATCATACCACACCAGTACCAGTCCTCATATATATCATACCACATATATATCATACCACACCACTATCAGTCCTCATATATATCATACGACACCAGTAGCAGTCCTCATATATATCATACCCCACCAGTACCTGTCCTCATATATATCATACCACACTATCATACCAAACATATGTCATGCCACATCAGTACCAGTCCTCATATATATCATACCACACCAGTATTATACCACACATAAATCATACCACATATATATCATACCACACCAGTATCAGTCCTCATATATATCATACCACACCAGTACCAGTCCTCATATATATCATACCACACCAGTTTCAGTCCACATATATATCATACCACACCAGTATCAGTCCACATATATATCATACCACACCAGTACCAGTCCACATATATATCATACCACACCAGTACCAGTCCTCATATATATCATTCCAAACCAGTACCAGTCCTCATATATATCATTCCAAACCAGTACCAGTCCTCGTATATATCATACAACACATATATATCATACCACACATATATCATACCACACATATATATCATACCACACATATATCATACCACATATATATCACACCACACCAGTACCAGTCCTCATATATATCATACCACACCAGTACCAGTCCTCATATATATCATACCACACCAGTACCGGTCCTCATATATATCATACCACACCAGTACCAGTCCTCATATATATCATACCACACCAGTACCAGTCCTCATATATATCATACCACACCAGTACCAGTCCTCATATATATCATACCACACCAGTACCAGTCCTCATATATATCATACCACACCAGTACCAGTCCTCATATATATCATACCACACCAGTACCAGTCCTCATATATATCATACCACACCAGTACCAGTCCTCATATATATCATACCACACCAGTACCAGTCCTCATATATATCATACCACACCAGTACCAGTCCTCATATATATCATACCACACCAGTACCAGTCCTCATATATATCATACCACACCAGTACCAGTCCTCATATATATCATACCACACCAGTACCAGTCCTCATATATATCATACCACACCAGTACCAGTCCTCATATATATCATACCACACCAGTACCAGTCCTCATATATATCATACCACACCAGTACCAGTCCTCATATATATCATACCACACCAGTACCAGTCCTCATATATATCATACCACACCAGTACCAGTCCTCATATATATCATACCACACCAGTACCAGTCCTCATATATATCATACCACACCAGTACCAGTCCTCATATATATCATACCACACCAGTACCAGTCCTCATATATATCATACCACACCAGTACCAGTCCTCATATATATCATACCACACCAGTACCAGTCCTCATATATATCATACCACACCAGTACCAGTCCTCATATATATCATACCACACCAGTACCAGTCCTCATATATATCATACCACACCAGTACCAGTCCTCATATATATCATACCACACCAGTACCAGTCCTCATATATATCATACCACACCAGTACCAGTCCTCATATATATCATACCACACCAGTACCAGTCCTCATATATATCATACCACACCAGTACCAGTCCTCATATATATCATACCACACCAGTACCAGTCCTCATATATATCATACCACACCAGTACCAGTCCTCATATATATCATACCACACCAGTACCAGTCCTCATATATATCATACCACACCAGTACCAGTCCTCATATATATCATACCACACCAGTACCAGTCCTCATATATATCATACCACACCAGTACCAGTCCTCATATATATCATACCACACCAGTACCAGTCCTCATATATATCATACCACACCAGTACCAGTCCTCATATATATCATACCACACCAGTACCAGTCCTCATATATATCATACCACACCAGTACCAGTCCTCATATATATCATACCACACCAGTACCAGTCCTCATATATATCATACCACACCAGTACCAGTCCTCATATATATCATACCACACCAGTACCAGTCCTCATATATATCATACCACACCAGTACCAGTCCTCATATATATCATACCACACCAGTACCAGTCCTCATATATATCATACCACACCAGTACCAGTCCTCATATATATCATACCACACCAGTACCAGTCCTCATATATATCATACCACACCAGTACCAGTCCTCATATATATCATACCACACCAGTACCAGTCCTCATATATATCATACCACACCAGTACCAGTCCTCATATATATCATACCACACCAGTACCAGTCCTCATATATATCATACCACACCAGTACCAGTCCTCATATATATCATACCACACCAGTACCATTCCTTATATATATCATACCATACCAGTACCAGTCCTCATATATATCATACTACACCAGTACCAGTCCACATATATATCATACCACACATATATCATACCACACATATATCATACCACACATATATCAAACAACACATATATCTTACCACACCAGTACCAGTCCTCGTATATATCATACCACACAACCACAGTCCTCATATATATCATACCACACAAGTACCAGTCCTCATATATATTATACCACATCAGTATCAGTCCTCATATATATCATACCACACCAGTATCAGTCCTCATATATATCATACCACACTAGTACCAGTCCTCATATATATCATACCACACCAGTACCCGTCCTCATATATATCATACCACACCAGTACCAGTCTTTATATATATCATACCACACCAGTACCAGTCCTCATATATATATCATACCACACCAGTACCAGTCTTTATATAGATCATACCACACCAGTACCAGTCCACATATATATCATTCCACACATATATCATACCACATATTTATCATACCACACCAGTACCAGTCGTCATATATATCATACCACACCATTACCAGTCCTCATATATATAATACCACACCAGTTCCAGTCCTCATATATATCATACCACGCATATATCAAACCATAACATACCACACATATATCATACCACACCAGTATCATTCCACGCATATATCACACCACACATATATCATACCACACCAGTATCAGACCTCATATATATTAACCACACCACTACCGTGTCCTCATATATATCATACCACACCGGTACCAGTCTTTATATATATCATACCACACCAGTAACAGTCCTTATATATATCATACCACACATATATATGTGGTATGATATATGTTGGTATGATATATATGAGGACTGTTACTGGTGTGGTATGATATATATGTGGACTGAAACCGATATCATACCACATATATATCACACCACACCAGTATCAGTCCTCATATATATTAACCACACCAGTACCGTGTCCTCATATATATCATACCACACCACTACCGTGTTCTCATATATTATATATTAACCACACCAGTACCCTGTCCTCATATATATCATACCACACCGGTACCAGTCTTTATATATATCATAACACACCAGTACCACATATATATCATACCACATATATATATTATACCACACATAAATCATACCACATATATATCAAACCACACATATATCATACCACACATATATCATACCCCACCAGTACCAGTCCTCGTATATATCATACCACACCAGTATCATTCCACGCATATATCATACCACACATAGTTCATACCACTCCAAGACCAGTCCTCATATATATCATACCAACATATATCATACCACATATATATCATACCAATATATCATACCACACCAGTACCAATCCTCATATATATATCATACCACGCATATATCATACCACACATAGTTCATACCACTCCAAGACCAGTCCTCATATATATCATACCACTCCAGTACCAGTCCACATATATATCATTCCACACATATATCATACCACATATATATCATATATATCATTCCAAACCAGTACCAGTCCTCATATATACCATACCACACCAGTACCAGTCCTCATATGTACATATATATCATACCACACCAGTAACAGTCCTCATATATATCATACCACACTAGTACCAGTCCTCATATAAATCATACCACACCAGTACCCGTCCTCATATATATGAGGACTGGTACTAGATATATGAGGACTGGTACTGTTGTGATATGATATATATGAGAACACGGTACTGGTGTGGTATGATATATCATACCTATCATACCACACCAGTACCAGTCCATATATCATACCACACCAGTACACGTCCTCATATATATCATACCACCCCAGTATCAGTCCTCATATATATTAACCACACCAGTACCGTGTCCTCATATATATCATACCATCATACCACATAATATCATACCACACCAGTATCAGTCCTCATATATATTAACCACACCAGTACCGTGTCCTCATATATATCATACCACGCATATATCAAACCACACATATATCATACCACACATATATCATACCACACCAGTACCGTGTTCTCATATATATCATATCACAACAGTACCAGTCCTCATATATATCTTACCACACATATATCATACCACACATATATCATACCACACAAGTACCAGTCCTCATATATATCATACCACACCAGTACCAGTCCTCGTATATATCATACCACGCATATATCAAACCCCACATATATCATACCACACATATATCATACCACACCAGTACCAGTCCTCGTATATATCATACCACACCAGTATCAGCCCTCATATATATCATACCACACCAGTATCAGACCTCATATATATTAACCACACCAGTACCGTGTCCTCATATATATCATACCACGCATATATCAAACCCCACATATATCCTACCACACACATATCATACCACACCACTACCGTGTTCTCATATATATCATATCACACCAGTACCAGTCCTCATATATATCATACCACACCAGTACCGGTCCTTATATATATCATACCACACCAGTATCAATCCTCATATATATCATACCACACCAGTACCAGTCCTCATATATATATCATACCACACCAGTACCAGTCGTCATATATATCATACCACACCATTACCAGTCCACATATATATCATACCATACATATATCATACCACACCAGTACCAGTCCTCATATATATCATACCACACCAGTATCATTCCACGCATATATCACACCACACATATATCATACCACACCAGTATCATTCCACGCATATATCATACCACATATATATCATAACACACCAGTACCAGTCCTCATATGTAGCATACCACACCAATACCAGTCCTCATATATATCATACCACACCAGTACCAGTCCTCATATATATCATACCACACCAGTACCAGTCCTCATATATATCATACCACACCAGTACCAGTCCTCATATATATCATACCACACCAGTACCAGTCCTCATATATATCATACCACACCAGTACCAGTCCTCATATATATCATACCACACCAGTACCAGTCCTCATATATATCATACCACACCAGTACCAGTCCTCATATATATCATACCACACCAGTACCAGTCCTCATATATATCATACCACACCAGTACCAGTCCTCATATATATCATACCACACCAGTACCAGTCCTCATATATATCATACCACACATATATCATACCACACCATTACCAGTCCTTATATATATCATACCACACCAGTACCAGTCGTCATATATATATCATACCACACCATTACCAGTCCTCATATATATCATACCACACCAGTACCAGTCCTCATATATATATCATACCACACCAGTACCAGTCGTCATATATATATCATACCACACCAGTACCAGTCCTCATATATATCATACCACACCAGTACCAGTCCTCATATATATCATACCACACATATATATCATACCACACATATATATCATACCACACCAGTACCAGTCCTCATATGTATCATTCCACACCAGTATCAGTCCTCAGCGCTGCCTATTAAGCATCCCTTTAATAGAGTTTTTAGACTAAAATGATCATGATTACCAGTTATACCAAATTGAGAATTTTTTATTACTAATTGCATTTTAAAGTTGTTATAGAGTGGGCATTCTAATATAAAATGAAATGCATTTTCATTTTCATGTCCACATCTACATGCTGGTGTGTCATTCAGATGATCCATATATAAGTCACTATTTAGGTTGCTAGCATGATTTCTCAGCTGACAAATTATGATATTGAATTTTGTGGGCCCATAGTATTTAAATGTGCTTGCAATTTCTTCAGTGTTGTTCATATTATCAGACTTGATGAATTTTAAACATATCATATCAGGTCTTTATCACATACACACGTTTCACATACACACATGTATCATATCACACCTGTATTACACACTCATTATCATATCCGTTTGACCATTCTTTTGTCTTTCCAGGACTGTTTTATCCTAGATGCTGGCTCCAGTGGGATATATGTGTGGATTGGCAAACAATGCAGCCAGAACGAAAAGCGATCTGCTTGGAAACACGCAACGGTAAAATTCTGAAAAACAGATATTATTTGAATAAATTAGGATTTTATGAAAACCGAAAATAAGGTTTATACTGGATATTCAAATAATTATTCTATCTACAGCACTTAAACATGAGCATCACCTGTCAATAACAACAACAAAAAGGTTTTTAAGAAAAGGGAAGATTTTTTTGTAAATCGGTAACACAGTATCGGACTTATCTTAAAATTTCTTTTTCTTCTAATTGTGTTTTTAACCGTTTCTTTGGTATAGGATTTTCTAACCTTGAAAGGTTACCCCGATTGGACTAAAGTTACCAGGCTGGCGGACGGAGGGGAAACGCCAATGTTTAAAGAGTACTTTAAGTCCTGGCGCGACTGGAATGACCAAATGGGACTGGGTAACATCTACACAAAGGAAAACATTGCTCGTATGTATATCACTTCAGAACACGCTGACAGATATGGGGATAGAATAGTCCCTCAGGGGAAAGTCACCTCTGATCCGGAGGGGCGATATCTGCATCAAAAGTATTCATACCAATATCGTCACAGTAGGTATCGAAACATCGGATATAAAAATTCTTATAAAAAATACTGGAATGGACGGTCTTTTTATAATAAGGGAAAAGCCACACGTCAGATAAAGTGATATACTGAACAAGAAAAAGAGATCCTATAGGAGATTAAGACGGGAAAACATGACATGTAGGTGATAGAGAGAGAAACATTTCGATGTAGGTGATAGAGAGGGAAACATGTTGATGTAGGTGATAGAGATGGGGGAGAGACATGTTGGTGTAGGTGATAGAGATGGGAGACATGTTGATGTAGGTGATAGAGATGGGAGAGAGACATGTTGATGTAGGTGATAGAGAGAGGGAGACATGTTGATGTAGGTGATAGAGAGAGGGAAACATGTG